CACACACACACACACACAAAGATAGAATGAGAGAGAGGGAGAGGGAAAGATACAATAAGTTAATAGAAAAAACATATCAAAGAAGACAGTCATATACTTGTATGCAGCCTTACACATACAGAAACTCTCTCTCTCGCTCTCTTTCTCTCACTCAAACACACACACACAAAGAGATGGGTCTGGCCTCAGAGCAGGCTAGCTAAGCAGTCTATGATTATGGGGTGTGTCTTTGTCTCATTTAGTGGTTCCACAAGGAGACAGTCTTCTGCTGTGTCAGACAAACTTACACACACACTCACACACATACACACACACTCACACACATGCATGCACATATGCAAATACCAACACTATCACTTAGCGACAACAAATCGTTTTGAATTTGTAAAATTGCCTTTTAGAGGAACTGCACATGTAAAACTGGCCCTATGAAGATTATTTTACTTTGCCATCTTTTTAGATGATGCATGATGATGCAAACCTCACTCTGTTATTCCTAAATAAAGCCAAAGCAATAGTTGTGCACACTAGATATAAATGAAGTTAACTAACTGGTTCAGGAGCAGGGTCATGCCTCAACCACCTCTAATATACCCGATCAGCCCATCCCGCTCTAATCTATGTACTTGATCAACCATCACACTCTGATCTGATCGGTCAACCCTTACCTCATCTCTACCCACATTCCTTCATCTTCTTCTCCCTCATTTCTTCTTATTCAGTTTGGTGCATATCTCTCTCACGTTGCATTGTAGGGGCCTCCTAGGGGCCGTCATCAGCTTGGGTACAATGATGCCTGAGATGGAACCCACAAATTTACTCTCCCTCCGCCCAGTCATCAGTGCACTCTCCCTGCACTTCCCCCCGCTTCCTTAACAACCTGTAAACTACACATTGTTGTGTTGGAATCCTTGCTACTGAAACTGCCATTACTGTGAGATGAAGCCACCGCACAGAAGGAAATTGCAGCAACTTAATTTTCTACTTCTCATGTGCATGAGATGTTAATTAAAAACATGATGATATCAAATAAGTCAACAGCAGATGTTCTATATTTCATTCCTCTTTTATTTTGGAAAAATATTGCGTTGTTTTCCAGTAATAAAAATGACAGGCTCTGTACATACGACTTTTATCTTAAATACAACACAGTCACAGTGGTCTCAAGTGCCTAACACATACATGCATACATACAAACTTACATACATACATTATCTGCCAAATAAAAACAGTCCAACTTAAATTATAAGAGATTTAACAAAAAAACATCACAACAAAATGAAACACAAATAATTACATCATTAAATTAAAAGAATACGTCTTTCTTTAGATAACAAATAAAATAAAAAAACAAATTATCCTAACCAATGGCAGGCAGGGTGATGGTGTCCTTCAATTGGCTAATAGTGGAGGGGAGGGGAGCGGGATTGGGCAGTGTACTCTTCTGACACCACACAAATGACATCACCTCCTCTGTACACATACACTCTTAAACACACACCTCCATAGTGCAATGAGGTCTTGGCAGTTAAGACGAGTCCATCATAGCTCACTTGGAAACAAGACAGCATCATCAGAGGTCAAGACAGTTATCACAAATTAGTTTATTTTGAGTTGTGAAACAATACTTTCACCGTATCCAGGAATTTTAGTAGCAGAACATAATAACAAATAAATTCATAATGAATTTTTGTTTGTTTGTTTTGCTTGATTAATTTTTTTGTCCTCCAATACTGAAATTGTTTCCTCAGTCACTCTGCCCGAAACATTGCCCTGTGTATTAAAACCTTCAGGGGTCAGAGGCCAGTATGGCCCAACAGGATCCATGTTGGATCGATCTGCAGTCACTACTGGAATCTTCAGTTCCCTCATTTCTGCTGAGAACCAGCTCAGCCAACATCGTCTCTGTCAGTGCTGCAGAGTTAAAGATGTAAAGCTGGTGCAGCTGTTTTAAATTTTTTTAAGTTACAATTTAGTTTTTTTATTAATGAATTCTTAGCAGCTGCAGTTTGAAAACTTCTAATGTTGCTACAACTCCACCCTCAACTCTGCAGCACTGCACAGAACAGGAACTGTTCAATATCCATGACAGCTTTTACACTGCATTGTAAAACCACAACACATAACAGTTCTACAACTGTACTTCAAAAGTTCTGAGTACTCCAAAGGTACAAAACTGTTCAATCAGTACTCCACAGTACTACAATATTATTGGTCAACATCCAGATCAATACTTCGCTGTTGACCAGCAGAGAGGAGTTCATCCTGGTACGAGCAGTAAATCCTCCGAGCTCTTCATCAGTTCTCCAGCTGCAATCATTCAATCTGCATCACTACATGTTCAGCACTGTTTCTGTACAAAGTTTGTACAACTGCTAGCACTGTCTTTCGGCTCTTTGTCCATAGCACTGCGTCAGCATCCATCAAGGGTTTAAAATTGTCTTGTATTCACCCGTAGCACTACAAAGTACTAAGGCCTTGATGAATACTCTGCTGGCTCAGCAGCACCGTGGCTCAAAAGTCCTCCGGAAAAATCCCAGGGAACAGCAGCAAACAGCAGGAGTAGAACCTCCTGGAGACAAGCTGAGCTCTACTGCTCAGGGCTGGTGTGTGTGGACCAACCACAACCAGAGGAAACTGGTCTGGTATCATACCTGTAATACAGAGAAGAAAACATCAGTGTCTTGTGTCTTTTTGCACACCATGTTGAGGGGGGTTACATTTATTTCATACATTAGCCAGGAGGATAAATAGATTTCTGTGTCCTCACCTCTGTAGCGATGATACATTCATCCTTCTGGTCCGACATGACGTAAACAGACTGGTATTTGGTGTCAGTGGTACACTGGTACCTGCTGTCACTGGGACAGTGGTATTCAGCATCACTGGTTGATGGGTACATGACGTCACTGGTTGATGGGTACATGACGTCACTGGTTGATGGGTACTTGACATCACTGGTTGACTGGTATTTGACGTCACTGGTTGACTGGTACTTGACATCACTGGTTGACTGGTATTTGACGTCACTGGTTGACNTTGACATCACTGGTTGACTGGTATTTGACGTCACTGGTTGACTGGTACTTGACATCACTGGTTGACTGGTATTTGACGTCACTGGTTGACTGGTATTTAAGATCACTTGCTGCGTGATAGTTCAGATCACTGGAGGACTGATACTTTGCTTCATTGCAACTTGTTGACTCTTCTTCATATTTCTTTTCTGATGCATCACTGTGGGAAAGGGAACAATAACAGTTTACAAACAGATTCAGAGATGCCTCCCTCCAAACAACAAATGCTAAAGCCATTGAATGGAAGATGTACATTTTAATACTTGCATTTTTAACAAGCTTAGTTTGAGGAATGCACGATTCAAAGCAGTGTACCTAATAAGTGTATATTTTGACAGCTACGTACCTTTTTTGTCTCTTTCTGTATCTTTCTTCTGTGTCAAACTCATCCAGCATTTCACTTTTGACCTCTAGCTCATCATGCTCCTCTTCTTTACACAGCAGCAGCTCCTCTGGCCGGAGCTCATGCACCAGGTTGTACTCCACACTGGGATAACGAGTCTTAAAGCCGTTCTTCTCTGATCCATTGAGTCCGCTGATTCCACTCAGACCACCCAGAGACCCAGCAAGGTCTGAGTGGTAATCCACCTTCTTGTTGGTGTTTTTAATGGACGTCGCCATCATAGCACCCACTTCCTTGTCAGTTCGGAGACAATTGTTGGTGGTCGTCAGGTTGTTCATGGTCTCGTGGCTGTCACTGTGGACACTGTCACTGTGGTGACTTTGCCGCTCTTGCAGTTTGACGCGAATGTAAACAACCATCACTGAGCAGCCAATCAGGATCACGAGAACGAGGAAGACACCAGCACACACAGCCGTCCAAGGGAAACCGCTATCGTCATCCTCCTCCTCTTCAACATTTCCATTTTCCGGTGAAGAATATCGCCGATCCGGTCCGTCCACCACCGGCTGACCTTTGGGAACCTCTGGTAAGAGGAACTGGCAGTTGTGACCACCATAGCCGGGCACACAAGCACACACATAACGGCCGCCGCGCTCGTGGCAGGTTGCTCCATTGTGGCAGGGGTTGTGAGAGCAGCGGGAGATGGGGGAGCTGCAGTTTTTGCCAGTATAGCCTGCGGACGAAATCAGAGATTATCAGTCTAGAACAAAACTAATCAAAAACTGTATAAAAAAAGAAAAAGCCCATCAACATAATCCATCAAGAGAGTTCTGTTTGGAGCTGCCATACCTGGAGGGCAGGTACAGGTGTAGCCATTCACTCCCTCTTGACACGTCCCACCGTTCTGACAGGGGAAAGATAGACAGTGTCCAGAGATGCTGCCGCTGTCCTCACAGTTAGGACCAGAAAATCCATCAGGACACTGACAGAGGTAGGAGTTCACCAGATCTACACATTCTGCACCTGCAGAGGGGACAGAGATTGAGACAAAGACTGAAGGTTAGTCATTTTGGACATTTTACTTCCTGGTGCAGGATTTATTGTAGGTTAATTATAATTAATGTAAAAACATAGAAGTCAAAGTACCATTCAAACAGGGGTTGGAGGAGCAGTGGTCGATTTTCTTCTCGCAGTTGAAGCCGGCGTATCCCAACGGGCACTTGCAGAAGTAGCCCCCCTCAGGGTTGTCGACACAATGTCCATCATTGAAGCAAGGCCCATCTGCACAGGTACTGGCACTCAACTCGCAGTTGTTGCCATAGAAACCAGGTGGACATGTGCACTTGTAGCCATTGTCATTGTCCTACATTGGGAAGAATGTAAACAGTGGTTACATTTAGGCTTGTTGTCTGAATATGATTGTTTATTTCATCATCACATCACTTCTCTCACACTCTTCCTCTCATGATACTCACAGTGCAGCTGCCTCCGTTGCGACAGGGGTTTCCAGAACATTCATTGACCTGGATCTCACAGCTGGCGCCCGTAAATCCAGGTAGACAGGAGCAAGTGTAGCTTCCCTGGCCAGTGTTGGTACAGGTGGCTCCATTAAGGCAAGGCTTATGGTGCGTACAGTAGTTCAGATCTGGAACCATCAACAATAAACAACATTAATGAACAACACATTGTAAATTTGAAAAAGTAACAAAAATGGAGGGATTCTAACAAAGTGGTAAATCTCTCAGTGAACTCACCCTGGTTGCAGAAGAGCCCACCCCATCCCTCCTGGCAGTTACATTGCCAGGGCTGTTGGCAGGTGCCATGGAGGCAGCCTGGGTAACGGATACAGTCATCACAGTAACGTCCGCTGAAGCCCACACGACACCTGTTAACACACAACATTCACTTAGTATTTCTCATAACAGAAAAAAGGATAATGATGATCATATACAATGCTACTTTTAATTTATTTATGATCCAGTTGAGCAACTCTGAAAAAAATTAACATCCATGGTTTCTGCACTTACTTGCACTCTCCTGGTTTTTCACAGAAGCCATGTTCTTCATCACAGCCAGGAAGACAGATTGCTGCAGAGAGGAAAGAAAAGATGACAAGTGAATTATGGGAAACATGCCCTCCATCTGCGTTTTCAAACTGGTGCCTGTCTGGTGGTTGCTCGAACCTTCTGATCTGTTTGATCCAGTGTGTTTACATGCTCATATATCTACTTCTAGGCTGCAACAGAGTCTTATGAAAACATGTTTTGTGGTTCATGTCACTTTGTATCTGGACAGGATAAAATCTTGTGGGTAATCTGGGTCATCGGGTCACTGCTGAAACACTTTGGTTTCTTAAATTTTTAAAAAACTTGTAGAAAACATTGCCTCACAACTATAACATCCCTCGGGGGGCTTCGAGAGCTTTGGTCACCAAAGTGGGGAACCAGCCAACAAGCCCTCTTCTTTAACATGGTTGCTCTCCGACACAAAAGCATTGCACACAAAGCCTCCTTTCTCCCCTTGACTGTGGGTCAGAAGTCCCTTTTCTCACCCTTGCCACCCCCATAATACCCCACCCACCCATCCCTCCTCCTTCTGATCCTTCTCTCTTCCTCTTCCATTCACCTATCCCCTCTCTTCTCCTCCTCTCTTCTTGCTCTCCTTCCCCTCCTCTGCTCCTCCCGTCTCTCCTCACACTCCTCCTCCCACCCAGAGCCAGCTGGTCTGTGTGGAGCTAACCACCAGACAGCTGCTCCATTGTCTCCTCTCACCGAGCAGCTGCCCCCTCCACAACAATACACAACCGCGCTTGGCCAATCAACAGCCCAGGCCGCAACAATGCAGGACCCCCACTTGGCCAATCGGGGAGGAGGTTTGGGGCAAAGGAGGCCGCAGTGGTCTAATGGAAGGCACGCGGCGTGTGAATTACTGAGGAGCCAGTGCGGCTCATTAGAATGGAGGCCTCTGGTGCTATGGGATAACTAACTGACGCCTGTTGCACACGGGCCCCGCATTAGCAGGTGGAAAAAGTCCCTAAACAATAACGATTGGCAAGGGACTGTTGGGGGAAATTAACTTTGAAAAGTAGCTTTAGAAACTTTGTAGAATTTAAAAAAACACTCAAAGTTTTTGCCTCATCAATGTTGATTTAGGCCTCCATACAGTTTTGATGGTGAACATTTTTTTTCTAACCTCATTGTCCAGTCTTAGTTTAATCGGTTATTATTCCTCATGCACTGAGGTATTTTGGGATCAGAGATTCTTTTAAACATCAACATTGAGTACCAATCACTGTGCTGCTCCTGAAGCTCATCTGTCCCTTGGCATCTGTTAGTGAATTCCAACATCACCTTGAGCAACACCACAGCTGTTTCCCCTTAACATGTTGCACAAACCCCCTGAAAGATATTACTGCTGGATTTAAAAAATTTAACCCACTTACGTTCAGTGCAGTACTGTCCCTTCCAGCCAGAGTTGCATATGATCTCCCCACGCTCGCCACAGGTGAAGTGGCCAAAAGCATCGTCTCGGGGCCGACAGAAGACAGAACAGCCATCGCCGTAGTAGTGCTCGTCACACAGAAAGCGATAGGAGTAACGTAGCTCCGTCCCGCCAGTTGTCTGCATGTCCTTGAACCACTCCTCTCCCACGGTGAGGTGACGCTGGGTGGTGATCCTGCTGATCAGATGCTCTGGGTTGTCTGCAGAAGAGAAGCATGCAGCTTGTTATTGATCATATCTTATACAGTTAGATGAGTTATGAGTTATATTTCTTGTTTTAATTTGCTAAATAATGCTTACATTTGTGAACTGTACACTCTTATTAAAACTTAGGTGTCCACAGGGATTTTACATTTCCACCTTCACCACCCATACTCCCACTGTCCTGTGCTGCTAGTTAGTCATCATTAGTTCAGTGATAAGCACAGTAGATAAAAGATAACAGCAGCAAATATCTCACCACTGGAACAAATCACAACAAACACCTGCAAAAACTATGGGTGGCCTTTTCCCTGCAAGTGCGATGTTAGAGAAACCTGGTGCTTTAAAACATAGAGACTGTGTTTGATATAATTTACTTATCATCATGACCCTCAGACTCATAATATGATTATTTGCAACATAAGCAGGTATTGTGCACTAAGCAGATATTTGCTTTCCTTTTTTTAAGCATCTCACAGATGTTCTGTCAGAATTATCATGTAGATTATACTTTAATATGTTGAAATATTATCACCTGTTTTTAAATGTAGAAATTGTAAGCATATAATTGTTTAATAAGCATAATAGGCCTAATAATAAAACAAGACTACATCATTTGTCAGATTTAGTGTGTCCTACTTATCACCAATGAGTGAGCAGTAAGTGAAAAAACGTGCTACTGAGAGAAACCAGGCCACTATTAGCCTTCTGGCACTGTCTTTGAGTTACAGTGCTGCCTTCTCTGGCTGCCACCCACCTGTTGCCAGGTCGTCCAGGGAGTCAGTGTGCAGGGCTTCAATGATCAGTGAAAACGTCCCCTGAGGAGAGACAGAGACACAGAGAGAGTCAACAGCTGCTTGGCCTGGAAGCCTCCCTCCCTCCCACAGCAGAGGGCCATTAGAGGAGGCCTCCCAATAAACTTCACAGCCTAATTCCCGTGTTGATTAGGGGCCTAATAAGGGCCACTACCTGCTCCCCTTTTAACACCCTGCCACTATCACACTCGCTCGCCGCCGTAAAACCAAACGAGGCGGAATTTCACGCTGCGCTGCCAATGATGTGCCAACTCAGAGGATGTTAAATTTACCACCACGCCTGCATGCGTGGTCGGAGGAGAGGGAGCGTTTGGTGAAAACACTCCCACCACTCCCCCCACCACACACACACTCCCCCCCTCCCACCAAAGAGCACAGGAACACTACAATAGCCCCTCTCACACACTGCTGACAAAGACCCTCACAAGTGTTGAGTTTGGGAGCATCTGTTGCGTTTTGCACTCTTCAAAGCTAATGTGTCCCACTGGAATAAGACCATAATAAATCCACTGTCTGTCTGCCCATGCTTTTCATTACTACTGCAAAATGTGACAGAACTCATGATAATACAGTCTTCCTGTATGACAGAAATATTACTGTTTAGTTTAAATTAAATGCACATGGAGTTATTATGGAATCTTCCAGGGGATGATGGTTTCTTTAAAGTAATGCCAAAAAAAAGTTATAAAATACTTATTATCAAGAAGTGCTGTGGAGGTTAGATTAATATGGGGTGATAAATTATAAGCCACCCCTCGTCTATTGTCATTGAAACACTCACCGGCCATGTGAAGCCGAAGGGAAAGCGCACCGGGTTGGTGAAGCTGTCCGCATTGGTTTCCGGCACCTGGAAAGAGTTGGAGCCGAGCACGGGAGTCACAGCCCCGCCGTAGGTGCAGGGAGGCTCGGGGGAAACGTTGGCCTGGTAGTGCTTCAGACAGATCCGAAAGAAAGTCTTGCACTCGCACTGCTGGTGTCCCTGCGGATGCGCGGAGCCTCCGGCGCAGCAGTTTGCGTTCCCCGTTATTCCTTTCTTGTTGAGGAACTCCTGCAGCTTCAGCTCAAACACTCCGGAACATGAGACCTAAGTGGCAACACACACACAAACACACATGTCAGCCCGGTGCGTTTCACACAGGTGAGTTCAGAGTGTGGAAATATACGCATTTAAAATGTGAAAATCAATGCAGAGATAACATAGAGTTTTATAATTCATCCTCTGGACCTACCTGGCAGGTGAGCAGGGACAGAGTGACAACCAGGAGCAGAGACAGGCGTCCCATTGTGTTGACAGCCCTCCAACAAGCGGTGAATGCTCCAAAGGGTCCGAGCAGCCAAACTCAAACACACATGGAGAAAGTTTTCAGAAGCTCCTCCGCGCACTCACAGTCAAGGTGAAGCCTTTACGCAGGGAGGGAGGATGAGGAGAAAGTTTGTCCTGTTGCGCGTCTGTTCCCACAACGAGCCAGAACAAGTTTTACAGTGTAAAAAAGTAATCCTCAGCAAAAGAAAAGGAGAAGAAGGATCCTCTTGTTGAATGAAATCTCCGTTGGAAATATAAGAGAGTTAATTCCAGTCAACCCAGAGGCAGCTCTCGATGTGGTGATGGCCTTGTTTATTTTCCCACTTGCTTCATAATGATATGCTGATCCTGAAACGCAGAAAACGAGTTTCTCTGTGTCTCTCGGTTTAACAGTGTGTTTGTCTGATGGCTCTCCTGCCCCTGCACAGGGTTTTATACCGGGGCCAGCAGGCGATGGGTAATAAGATGCAAATGAGCCTCTCTGCTCCTCTTCTTCCCTCCCTCCATCCCACCACCACCGCCACCACAAGTCCGCCCCGGGGCAATCACAAAGAAAGAGCGGGGGGGGGGGCACACACACACACACACACACACACACACACACACACACACACACACACACACACACACACACACTCTAAAACCCGCCCCCACTCCTCTCTCTTTCTCTCAAAGGGGACAGACCAAATGGCTACTGAGCTGTTAAATGTGCAACAACCCCTCGCTTCCCCTGACGCCCCCCCTCCCTCCTCCACACTTGCATTTACATTCCGATAAATTCTTCAACCTCTGCACGAAATCCTGCACATCACACCATCAAGTGATTTATACATGTATAGGGGGGCAGCCGGGGTGCCAGGGTATGACTCCTCATATCTGGGGTTATGGTAGAGCCTCTATGCCCTGACCTGCTCCAGCCAGCCAGCCGTCCCAACCGCGTTACAACGACCATCTGCTCCGCTGCATTCCTATGGTGTTACCCCTGCAGTGGTCCTCGCATGTTCACACCCCCCAAACAAGTCGATCTGTTCTTATTATCTTATCTTTAATGATTGGCTATACATGTCCTATACGTCTCCACGTGCGCGCTCACCAAACAGCTGCTGTCTTCCTCAGGTATCCTATTTCTGACTGCGTAATAATAATAAAACTCAAACTCCATTGGTCAGCACTTATATAAACAAGGTTGCAAAGTGCTTTATAAAAAATATTGCCTTAATGCCAATTTAACAATTAGATCAGCACTTCCCAATTCCCCATTCACTCTATGTAAATTATATTTTTAGAAACAATAAGCAAGAAGGAGATTTGCACACACGAGTGGCTGCAGGCAAGCACACTTTCTTCTTCTTCTTCTTCCTCTTCTTCCTCTTCTTCACTTCACCGCATGCCTGTGTGTATTTCCCCCTTACTTTTTTTCGGTACAGGCAGTAAAAAGAGACTTGGTGGCGTGTCACTCGCGTGGCTGTCATTAAGAGACTTTGTGAGGAGACGGAGGGGGAGGAGGAATGGGGGATTGGGAGGGGGGTGCATGGAGGGAATAAAGTTTTTTTTTCTCTTTGTGCTTTCAGCTGTATGGTAATCGGGCCGGCAGCACCTGCTCTCCCACAATAACACATCCCAACCAGAGAGGGAGAGAGAGAGAGAGAGAGAGAGAGAGAGAGAGAGAGAGAGAGAGAGAGAGAGAGAGAGACAGAGAGACAGAGAGAGAGAGAAAGCATAAACAATCATCTTACAATATGTTTGACAGTAAATTATCCCCTTTTCCTGAATGTGAGATACAAGACTACACAATATACCCGTGTTTTATGTGACATAACACTGACTGTGTTATTAACATGAGCAGAAACATGTGGTGAAGAGCTGACACTTGTTGACATGATGGTATTATGATATATCTATCTATCTATCTATCTATCTATCTATCTATCTATCTATCTATCTATCTATCTATCTATCTATCTATCCATCTATCTATCTATCTATCTATNTATCTATCTATCTATCTATCCATCTATCTATCTATCTATCTATCCATCCATCTATCTATCTTCATCTATTTATCTATCCATCCATCTATCTATCTGTTCACAATAAGGAAATGCTGATTGGGTTTTGCTGTCACACAGCTCATTCTGCACAACAAAGATCCAGAGCGGGGCCTCCTTCTCACTGACTGCTCTATTAATGTGTTGGAGCAGGTATTGACGCCCTGTATGAAGAGAGAGCAAGTGAGCACTATATAATGTTTACACACACGAGCACAAACACATGGTCAAGGACAGCTCAGACTGCTGCACCCTCTGTATTTTGATCTGCTGCTGTCCCCATTCATTAGGACCTTCATGTCGACACATACAGTGTTGTCATGTTGTCCTTGCTGGTGTGTTATCATTGCATACATGTGATGACCCAGAGTGGCTATAATTCCCTCTGGGTCAGTGTACACATGAATGAGAGGCCTGTGTATTAAGTGTCCATGATATGCTCTTTTGCACTCCTCCATGCTGATTGAAGGGCCTTTAACCTTGAGCTTTAACACTATTATCTTTGCCTGCCACCGTCTTCCCAGTATACCCGTATGTGTGTTTAGCTATAGGACGCTGCTCATTTCATTTAACCAGTTGATTTCAGCCCCCTCCTCAATGCCTACAATGCTGCTATGTGGCGTGGCGTAAAATCCCCCTGCTAAAGCCTTTTATTTACACTCATCCCGACTTTCAGAGGTCCACGGTGCTCTTTCTCTCCCTCCCTGTATTAGGCCAATATATACCATCAGTCATTCATCACCATGACGTGGCACACATTTACCGATTAGGCCAGCAAACCGTGACAGAGAGGCATGGTGAGATGGAAAGTGACCCCCCCCCGGTTTACCAACAGCAAGATGACATTTTCCCCTAAAACACAATTTATGCCAGGAGATTCTCTAATGGTGTCTTAAGGAAACTGCAGGAACTCCTCCCCTCTGATCTCTGTGTGTGTGAGTCCACGTGCGTGTGTGTGGATGCGTGTCAGTGTTTGTGTGCGTGTGGATGTTTGTGTACGTGTTTTGCGGTCCACGTGCGTGTGTGTGATTGTGTGTAAGTGTTTGTGTGAGTTTAAAAAATTGTAAAAGTGCTTTCGTATTGTCTATGCGTGTAACTACGTGTGTGCGCGCGCGCGCGTGTGTGTGTGTGTGCATGGGCGAGGTTAAAAAATTGTTTAACTGGAGGTCGATTGTTTAACTGAAGTGCCTTTCTATTGTTTATGTGTACGTGTTACTACGTGTGTGCGCGTGTGTAGGTCCAAGTGTGTGTGCGTGCGTGCGTGTGTGCGTGTGCGTGACCAGGAGCTCTGTGACACGCAGGGGGACAACAAAGGAAGAGGTCTCGCGCCCCGCCGCCCATTCATCCCTTTCTCTCGCGCAGTAATTCCCATTGATTCTTATTGAAGGCCGAGTCGCGAGCCCCTCGGGGGAGAACCGTGTGATTTGTGAAGGGTCGCGAGGACAGGACACGCCCCTCCTCGAGCCCCGGCCATCTGCTCACCAAACACCACAACACCAACCAACCAACCATCCTCACCTCCATCTCTCTGAGGAGTCTCTCCATCCCTCCATCCTTCATCTTCTTCCTCTCTGCCAACCTCTTCCTCCCATCTCTCTGTCATCCTCCCATCTCTCACTCTCCATCTCTTCAATTACAGGCCACATGCCTCTGTAGGTGAAGCAATGCTGTGGCTCCCCGGGCCAAATCACAGTGGAGGCATGCATGGGTATGCTGTGGCCATATGGCCTGTGTGTGTGTTTGTGTGTGTGTGTGCCAAGAAATGGATGGATGGCCGTCGTGGGAACCTCCACATCATCACCATCACACCAAACACACACACACGCACACTGTTGCACAGAGCATGGCAGCCTTTGGTCTGGTCAGTTATAGTGAGTTCACAGGGACGCTGGTTCCCACATGACGAGGCGAGAATCCTGGTTTTAATTAAAACCACTGCAGACTGACATGTTTAATTTGTATGCAGGCTGAACAAGTTCATTTAACAGCTGAACGGAGACACATGCTTTAAATCACAGGGCTGCTGTTATATCATGATTCTATTTATTGTATCCATCATGTCATTGTGTCAGCATTACTGAAGAAACACCTGAAATGGATTTGGATGAGGTCGAGTTTCAGTGATAACAGCAGAGTCGTGCGGCCAGGTCGGCTGTTGGTGCGATGGAAAGATTCTCACAGCAACAGCAACACTGTGATGTCAGAAACCTGAGACCCGGCTGTCCCCTCCCCATCTGAGCCACAAAGACCTGAGGCTGCCTACACCTACCATCCCAGTCAGGAATGTAACAACTCATAACACCTGTTAGCCTCAGTGTGTGAATCAGACTTACACTATGATACATCTAAAAAAAAGGTCATAAGTGCATTTAAAGTATGTTTGCTGTTTGGAGATTGAATATTTTCGATATTCCTGTAACATTTCATTACAGTAGCTTCAGCGTTCCATAAAAAAGTTTTTTACCTTTGATGTCACTTCTGTCTGCTGCTTGTTCCACTTCTTCATTCAGGGTTGTGAAGGCTGAAAAAATGAAGTCAGTTCATCAACTAGTTCATCGACAGAACTTCCATTCATTTTTCAAGCTAAATTGACAAGCACAGTTCTGGCCTTTCAATCTTTGTCTTTTGTGATATTAAACTGAATATTGTTGCATTTCGTCTTGGTTGAATTTTACTTTGATATTAGCACATAATTTCCTTGAAATGTTGTCATTCATGATAAAATATTTGATGAAGATATTTATTTCATTCTGAGGGTATGAATGGCACTTGGTCAGAGTTACAACAATACATCTACTTTTGATGATGCGTCAGATTTGTGATGATGATGACCCAGCTGTTTGATTTGGACTTTAAAAAAAGAAGCAAATAAGCAAGTAAGCAAACAAAACAATGCATTTTGAACAAATCACACACTCCCTGCTCCCTGAGCTCCCTGCCCTGTGGCCCCCTGGGGGTCCTTGGCCTTTGGTTTGAGAACCAGTGGCCTCCAGCAGCAGGATTAGCCAGAGCAGCTGCCCAGAGAGACCCTGGGCTCTGGACGCTGACACCAGGCCTGACCCCAGGGTGGCTACTATCAGGGACACTGAGGGGATCTGGGCAGCCCATAGTGTGTATGTGTGTGTGTTTTGTTCATTCAGTTGGACAACTGTTGAGCCAGTACAGATTTGGGCAGCAGTGCTCTTTGTATGTGTGTGTGCGTGCCTGTATGGTCAATTCTTTCCGGGGGTTAACTGCTGATCCAGTACAAATGGAAGTATTGGGGGGTAGGGCTGAGGGCCGTCGTGTGCTCCTGGAACATCTGCCTCTGTTTCTCCTGAGTCAAGCTTTGGTCAGGAGCAGGGA